CTATCTTTCATGTCCGACTACTGAGCATCGTCATTCGTCTTTAAATGGCATCGATATCAAAATCATCTTCATCATCCGAGTCTTCGTTTACTACTGCAGGTTTCTGCACAGGCAGTGGCTGTTGTGGTTTTAGCGATTGTTTGGCTCTATCATCGTATTCAATCTATAAAAAAAAATAAAAAGAAAAGAATTGTAACTTATCTCTTGTAAACGTTTAGAAATCGTCTTACTCGAAAAGATGAAAAACTAACCTCCAAATCGTCATCTTCTTCTTCAGATTCAGAATCTTCTTCCTCTGCTTCTTTCAGCCAGATTATAAACGGTGCAGCTTTATCATGAATTTCTTGGGACAAATCTTTTGATACGTATCTTTTGGTCACTTTGCTCGACCACTCGAACAAAGCTTTTTCTTCCAGGATATCAGCATCATAAAAGAGCTAGAACGGCAAACAAGAACAATCCATCAAGATACACACTAAGCATAATTATATCAAAGGATATTGACAGTGATTCGGTTTACCTTTAAAATACCAGGCACTTTTGGCATTAAAGCGTCTTTATGAAGAGCTATCACTTGTTCAATACCTCTAATAAGGTATTTCTGCGCCTTGATATCATCATGGGTGAAACGAAGGAGAAGCACTCGATACTTTTTGGCCTGAGCAGCGATGTTCTGATCGAAGAGCAGTTCGGCCAAGATCAACGGCGCCTTCGTCTTGATCTCCAGACGTTCAGCCTCTGCAACCAGCTCCTTGTGGTTATCCAATTGCCCAGCGTCGCGACGACATTTGACTAACTTATAAAACATATCCATCCTTTCCTTCTCAGTCTTATCGAGATCATCGGTGATGGTCATTCCCTTCGCCCCGTCTGTTAGATCCTGTAGACGGGCTCTGACCGCCTCCTCTGACACGTCCACTGCCCAATTATCATAGTCTCCGCTCTCGTCGGCCACTTTCTCAGGAGCCTCGACCACGATGTCCGTGGTGCTAATATCATTCTCCGGAGAACCAGATCGATCACCATTTGTTGTCGCGATGGTGGTGTTGGTGGCATTGGTGGTGCTAGTATTGGTCTCGCCGTTTGCGCGTTTCGAGCGTTTCCCGCGTTTCCCCTCAGTTAATGAGCTGCCTTGAACCGCAGGATTCAAGCTCGGTGGATTCTTCAGGATGTAGGTATTCAATTTATGATTACTTTCAAGTAGACCGTGATAACCGCATGCTTTGCACCCCTGTGAGATCGTCCCTTTCTTCGAGCTGACCATCAGCTCTGTTTCAGGGTTATCGCAGGCCGGGCAGAGCACGTATTTACGAATGAATCCGTCAAGGAGATCCTGTAATTTGGTGGCATCGTGAGAACCATTCACTATGAATCTTTCGTTTTTGAAATCAAATTGGGTCTGTGCTCCTAGCTCACAGCCAAAGTATTTGGTGGGGTAGGTAGCGGGTCTGCCAATAGCTTTTGCAACGTCGACCATGTTTACGATCACGGTTTTAATACCATTCCCCTTTCCTTCTACCTTGGCTTGGATCCGCGGCATTTTATAGCGATAAAATGCATCGCTGACGTTACGATTTACGTTGACGCTCCCCATGATGATGTTTCCGCCTTTTGTTTCTCGCTAACTTAATATCCCTACCGTGCGACAACAGCAATCTCTGACGAGACGTCGTTGTGAACGCGTTATTGAATCAGTGACACGAGAGTCGAACTGTTTCGAAGCTGCCCAAAGCTTCTTCCTGATCGCTATTGCCTCTCTTTTTTCTGTCTGGATCTCCCGGCCCTTTTCCTCTCGGATGTTCAAGTAGGTAACGTTTTCGTCCTCGTCCTTCTGGATCTACTTTCCACGTTTTCCAGCGGCAGTTTGATTGCTGTGCAGCGACGTTGCCAGGCAATGGCTACCCGATGGTAGCTCGTTACGTGTCGAGTCAGGGTGATTTTCGTTGTCTGCGGTTACGTGTGCCGCACTACCCGCGGACGCCAGTCACGTTTCTCTGAACGGCTGTAGCTTTCGATGCCTATTACTGAAAATTACAATAGGGTACTTAGTTAGTGAAATGTGTACTTTGAACTTCAGTCTTTATACTTTGAACTCACTGGTGTTCTTAAAGAAGGAAATTCAAGAGGTAAAGTAAAGAAAAGCGAATTTTTATAATCTCAATTCACCAGTTTCCTACATACAACTCTTTGTGGACCAAGTTATGTATTCTATATTCTATCCTAATTGGTCAAAAGTGTATCTGTGTTAACATATTTATACTAAAAAATATGCTTTATACATTGAAACTGATGTAGAATAAGTATTGAAATCTAGTTCTTTCATATTCAGCTCTAAAGAAGAAAAGTCTCATTTTCTTTACTCTTTAATATTCATTTCTCTTTGTTTTACCACTTTAATTTACTCCTTCAAGGACATCAAGGGATAATATTATTCACATGAGAATATAAACCTGGAAAATTTTGAGGTCCTGTGCTTAGGCAGGACCAGATGGTTCAGAAATCGTTGGGTGGTATCTTGATGCAGATATTGCCTCGGTTTGGTGGGCAGAGGGGGATAGTCTTCAATGATCATACACGCTGCCTGTCCGTCGCTTGTGCCCCTAAGAAAGCCTGGGTACCAGGTTGGTGTGGTTAACTCACAGATGGCTCGTAACGAACGATTCGACCGACCGAAGGTGATGATGTTGCCGTTTAGAAATCGCTTGGACAATGTCCTACTACCGCCGCCTTTGCTGTACACCGATCCTTTCCCTCTGGATGATATCCTGGATGTTTCTGCAATGAAAAATAAACAATTAACCTCTCAACGTAACGAAATGTTAATATCAAGGAAAATTTAGTTACATAGAAACACCTTTTGTTGAACATTGGGTAAGATAACAGAGAATGAATATTGACTCTATGAATAATGATTACAGTCAAAGATTAATGTATTCTTTGACATATGAATCACCAGTGACCTATGGCAACCACTTCAGAATATTAACACTTTCCATGCTAAATGAAATTACATTTGATTACAGAAAACTAGCTATTATAACCAATTTTTGACACTGATTCCGTTCCTAACCTATATAATATGAGCAACGAATAGAACGACAACAACGATGTTAACATATTGAACACAAATTTTGTACAAACACATAAATACTTATTACTAACGGTATGCTTTTCATTTCTTTTTGCAGGAAAAGTACCCTGACTTCGAGATAACCTTTTAAGAATCATCGTCATAACAATTTCGCTTCCACCAAAGATTATCTACAACGAACCTACGTTCAGTCAGCTGAATCATCTCAACCCAAAAAACGCGTGGGACGCCTCGCAGACATCGGGATCTGTTGTTTCACTCTTCACGATCATAGATAATTTTTTTTTCCCGGGGCAGTGTTTTGCGTTGTCCATTCGCGGTACGAGGAAGAGGCCTGTTAAAAGCGTTTGTGGTACGGTAGCATCGGGGGATGTTGTTCACCATGCGGCTCGTGGATCATTTGTCCGTGAATTTTGCTTGTCGGCAGGCAATAACGTCATTTAGTTCAAAAACGACGATTAACGATCGTCCAGCCGATGCTCGGAGCCGATCGACCATGCGAGAATCATGATAGCGGGAATCACACGAGGACCTGGCCTGATGGAGAAACGTCTCGAGGTATCAACACCGGAAACGACGCGACAGGGATTCTTTAGCGGGTATCGCTGGCCTAGAATGGAACAACTGAACGGTGGAACGCGATAAAAGACGATCGAGGAGGTGGCAGGAAGTCGATCCACTCATCCGTGGATTTCACTCGCGTGAATTTGCAGCGATGGCGTCAAATTTAACAGGAAAACTGGTCATTCGGATATCAAACGTTTCACATAGATGAATTGCAATTTATATTTGAACTATATTTTTAATTTATACATGTAGATGGCGGTGATGTAAAATTTTTTACGTTCCCATTAACTTTTTAATTTTTCTTTCTTCTTTTTTGTATTAAAAAGGTAGTTTTTTAGGTTAATGAAAGTGTTACTCGGTTGGCGATTATTATGGGTTAGCTATAACCTAAATAGAATATTTCAAAAATACCATAGAAAGTATCGAAGAGGAAAATTGAATTTGGAAAATGGTTCGCAAGAGAGTTAATGAAATGCAACTTCTTGCTTTCCTTTTGTTGTTCTTTGTGCTGCATATGCTTAATCGTCCAGTCATCTGATGTGCCATTTAAGCACCATTTACTAACCAAGTGTTCCTCTTATCTGATCCAGCATCTCTCAAAAGGAGGTACTTCTGTCTAATTAAATAATTAAGTAGTTCCCTATCTGAATTTAGAAATTCTACTTCTGATTGTAATTTTCATTCATTATTAACGTAGAGAATAATTTACAAATTAAATAGAAGATAAACTGATAAAGTAATACAATAAAATCTAGCAGCCAGTTCTCGCGTGCGGAATGACAATAATTCATCGCAGCAGCTGTCCAATGTGATCAAACAAATGTTTATATCACGTGAATAACGTTAAGATTTTCTCTTTAATCCCTAGATACAGGGATCAATGGGAATGTTGTATACATAACAGGCATTAGCGTGACTTTGATCGAATTAGAGATATGCGATTTCTACAATAAACAGAAGTGTGTTATATAAACCTGCACACGCCATTCAATCTATATTATTTTTTATACGGCCAAATTGGCCACGCTGTTTGGCATGAAAGCAGACCACAAATATTTCACCATCATGTCCTGATATTTTTCAACAGAAGTATCAAATTATCCTTTAATTTTAATAACTACTCAACTATTACTTTCTTATTATTTAATTATTTAACGATTACTCAAATATTTCATTTAAATTTTAACAACTACTCAATTACTTTGCTATTATTTAATTACATAATTATTTATTTTTCATTGTTTAATTATTGAATAATTACTCTCCGATTATATACAATCACTTACAAACAGAATTTTAACGTTTTTCATGCACAAATCCGAATTTTCATTATCTTTCTCAATAATCTGAGATCTAAATTTCACGAAAATAAGATTTAAGCTGTATCAATTCTCGATTCACTTCTATATTATAATTTTTAATTTAATTTACTGCAAATTTTTTAATATCAAAGATTATTTACATTTCCTCTTTATCCGAATTTCCTAAAATTTATATGTATTTTTTTACCGTTGCAATGTTATAATTAAATGCTTCTACGTTGCAACAGAAATGATATTCGCGTATTACGTATTCAATTTCGAAAGTCTCTTGGATAATCCCGCTGTCACGCGAAATCGGAAAACAAGAAACCGATGGAAAACAATTACGGTTGCGTATTAGGCGTAATATCGCCGTGATGATTCCCGACACGAAGCCAGACAGGGCTCAGAACGCCGTGAACACACTTCCGGCTACGTATGTCCAATGCATAGAGAGCGGACAGCAGAAAACGATATCCGCGTGTACATCGAGTGAAGTCCATAGAATTACATAAAACTCTGAAATCACGTTGAACAACGTAAATTTCACAGAAAACGCGTCAGAACACAACCGAAAAGAAGGAAGAGTGTTAAAAATTTAATCACATTTTTTTCGATTTACAGTGAGTATCACAGCCAAAATTGTACATTACATACAAAAATGCGTTTCACCTGGCAGAAAGAAGTTCAAGGATGTTATCCAGGGAGAAATATGACGATATACAGGGTGGGTCACGTGAAACCTAACCTAATTATCTTCTCTAGTTACATGATGGTACCAGATAATTTGTATACGTTAATTTACAATTTAACGTCAATTAAATACACAGTTAAATACGTCGCCATAGTTAGAGAAGATAATTAGGTGGCCTGTTTTATGTGGTCCACTCTGTATATCAATCTTATATTATCATGTACGATTTTAGCTACGAGACATTTTCCAGAGTGAGTTAGAGTAATTATTTTTTTTTTTTTTTTGTTTAATATTTAGAAAAATTCATTTCTTTCGATATTACTATATAATAATGTTAACCCTTTGCACTCGAGAGGCGACTAAGAAGCAACATTATATTTACCATTAGAGGCAACTCTAAGGATGATATTTTCCAAGACAGCAGGTCTATGGACCTCCGTGGATTGTTCACTACATGTTCAGAGATCTCAGCAGTGAAATAGTTTGAAAGAACCAACTTTTAATAAAAATAATAGTTTAAAAACGACGTGGTACTGTAATTCGCGGATTGACATACACTATCGTTCAAAATTTCTGAAAATTTGTTTACTCAATTTTTACGTATATTGTATTTCTTTACTTGTTATGTGCATTATACTCAGAAACCATAACTAATCTTAATATAGAAGAAGTTACAGTGTAACAATTCTTTTCCCGACTTAAATGTTTTCCATTAGGAGTAACCAATGCAAATGATTAAAAATATTTTTTGATAATCAATATCGAACGCGAAAATACTTTTCGATTGCTGATAACCTATATCGATCATGAAAATATTTTTGGTTACTGATAACTAATATCGGTCACAAAAAATTTTTGGTTACTTACGGCAAGTCAAATATGCTGTAGAACTATTTGCAATACCCATAAAAATATTATTTCCTCTTCGTTGTTATTTGATACAATTTTTTCGCCGTCTATATTGGCTTTCAGTTGTAATTTAACACAAAAAAAAAAACATTGCAAACATCTGTTTCATCATTTTAAAAAACACTCTCTACGCAGGAAAACATAAAATTGACATTTAATTCTGATATGAAATTCGATGAGTCGAATTTCCACGGGAATGAACGAAAACAGAAAATTGAATATTTGAACTGACTGGACAGTTCAAAGTTCTCAATAATTTGTTTCAAAAATTGATCAATTAACATGAAATAAAAATGAAAATTAGCGCGAGAAGAAAGATTTGCAAACATCTGTTTCGCAATTTGAAAAACACTCTGTACACAGGAAAACAGAAAATTGACATTTAGTTCCAATTATGAGATTCGATAAAACGAATTTTCACGCGGAGGAACGAAAACGGAAAATTGAATATTCCAAGTGACTCCGCGTGAACGCACGATTGAAGTTATTCCGCTCGTGCACGCTCCAATTGCAGGCCAGATCGTGGCAATTTACAATGAAACCTTTTATTTCGTATCGCAATCGAGGGAAATTACTTCTCCCATTGATTATACTCGCAACGAAACACGCCGATCCGCGGAGCTCCTGAAGCCGAATTATCGCGGTGGCTTTATCGTTTGAATTTTAAGCTTCGATTTCGTGTTAAATGGAAACAACCTAAGCGAAGAAAAAGAAGATAGAAATGAAGAAGGGAGAAGAGAAAAGAAAGCGAATGTAGATACTTTAGTGGTTAATACCACTGATAGTTACATAATTCAGAAAAAAGAGTCAATTATTAAGAAAATCCTATAAATATCCATGCTTGATGAAATTATTAATAAATCTGAAAGATAACAAAGTCACAAGCATCTTTCTTCCACTTTATTAAAATCTTTTTGCACAAATAGACTCCAGATAAATATAATACAATGGACGGCCTTTGCATAGCACGGATTCGTATAACACGAGCGCAAAAATAGTGACAGTGTTCTTATAACACGGTAAAACGGGCAAAGTACAAGTTTACACTTTATGTAAGTTTACAGTGCAATAATAAAATATAGGACCATCGCCATTCTGGCGAAACTATTGGAAGAACTAAGATTATCAAATAAATGACAATAAAAGTGCAACTACTGTTTCTACTTCCACGTGAAATATGTAATGATAGAACATTTTTAATTTTAATTTAATT